AATATAATATAATATAATATACTAGAATATAATATAATATAATACCCTGAGGATCCACAGAGGAAAGAAGTCTTATGACCCGCCTGGCGGCTAGCCTCGTTTGCAAACGCCTGCCACTTGACCAAACGATTTCCTGTGCAGCACTGCAGCAAGGCTTCTGGAGAAGCTCCGGTGATCAACTCTACGCAATCGCATATCCCTTGCGTGTCGTCCTGCTCTTCCAGCAAGTGCATTAACCTCCTGACCTCTGCAGAAAGCTTGCCAGAAAACTTGCGGTGCTGTGTGGTGCGTTCGCAGGGGCCTGGAAGAACCGGGTCTGCTTGGCGATGACTTCGTCGGGATTCTGCCCACAAAGCTTCTTCAGCACTCCGTGTATGTGCTGCGGAGCCTCAGGAAGGCCAAGCTCTGCCATGAATCGAGGTGCGAGCAGATGCGAGCAGGCGGCAAGGGAGTCCCTGCCACTGCCACCCATTTGCATCCCCCAGGCGGCCTCGTTGGCATAATCAATGACCATCAAGGCCGTCCCACTACCCCTGGCCTCCAGTCTTCCGAGCCCAGACAAGGAGCCTGAGCCCCTACGGCCCGCATCCAGACCTGAAAGAGGCAACGGGAAATTGATGCCTCTGCCTTCTTCGGTGTTGTCACAGCTGAGGCTCCTGACAGCGAAGGACCACATCGCTTGCGGTTCCCTCAGAGGCTGCGTAGGCTGGCCTTCCAGAAAGCGAAAGCTGCACCCAACACTCAGAACATATTCAGCACCTTACATGAGCTCCGAGCCGCAAGTAATTGCCAATGGTACTTCCTTTCAGGCTGCGCAGATCAAGCCAGGTCGCGAAGCCGAAAGACTCGAACTTTCTCCGAGGCTCTGTATGCTCTGAAGGCAGTGCTGTCGAGGGGGCTGGTTTGCTCGGGGGCCTGGAGCATTGCTCAGAGTCCACGCCGTGGCAAGTCACATGCGCTGGATCATGGCGTGACCTGCTTTGGGTATAGATGGAACTTCCACGGAGAGGGCACGTCTTCGGTGAAAGTAGCCTGGCTGCCATCGCCCGTTCCCATGTAATCAGGGTGCTGGGCAAGATGACCGTGGCAGAAGCAGCCGAACAGCCAAATCGGCTCCACCAAGCCTGGATGTGTGGCGGCCTTCTGTCCACCGTGTTTCCCACGCTGCGAGGCCTGGACGTCTGGTGGGTCGTCGGAGCTATGCGGCGAAGAGGAGCAGAACAGGTGAAGCAAAACATGTGCAATTCCAAGCCGCAGTCCTGAAACAGCGCTTGTAGAAAGCTTTCCATCGGGACTTGAAGATGTCTTTCGGCAAAGGCTTCCAGATGCCTTGGTTTCTTGACTCGAACCAGGACACACACTGCCGTCAGAGATGTAGGTCACAGAACGTAAGCACTGGACCCCGGTGTGTTCCACGAGGCATTCCACGTCAGTGTTCAACACCACATTGCCACAAGACGGGCACTTCTCTTGGCAACATGAACGCTGCTTCAGTCCGTCGGAAGTGGACTAAGCGCAATTACTTAGGTAGCTCGGGGCGATCTTCACTGAACTAGTCATAGGAGGGTTGGTGGCAGGGTGAGCGGGCAAACTCTTTCGCCTAAGGACTGAAACTCAGACGAAATCATCTGGAAGCTCTGCAACAGATCTGTCCAAAGCTCTGCGATTGAGCCAACAGGGACTCCACGAACTCCACGATGCCAGCTCTCGGGCTGTTCGATGACTGAAGGGTTGCTGACGCACGGTTTTGCAGCATAACTAGGTCGCATCATCCGCTTTGGGCTGGGCAATATCTGTACTGTGAACTTAAAAGCCTTCAGAAGGTGCACGCAATCGGAGCATCGAACCGGACTGCACTTAGTTCGAGACGCTCCCACGTTGGCTTGCACCTGTGAGTGCCAATGACGCCCGAGAGCAATGACACCTGCCGTGCTGTACAAGTCGAGCTCAATGTGCGCTGACGACCTGCGCAGCGAGGCGCTCTGTCACCAACCGGGCTCTGACGCTGCACAAGCACAGGGGCCTGTCCAGTCAGCATGCCCTGTCGGTTCTCAAAGGTGGAGTCCGCACTCCGAATCACCTGAGGGCAAGATCACGGATGCCTCACAGGAAATGGTGGCAGTCTCGGACCAGGGTCTGGACGCTGCCAGTAAGCATTCCACGTTTCAGCAGTACACGCGAATGTCCGTTGAGATGCAAGCTGCCTGACATGTGGCCGCGTGACTTTTCTCACCCGTGCGGAATAACCTCCTGTGACGAAAAATGCGCGCCTGTCACCATACTGTCCTCCAGGATTAGGTCGCTGTTGTTTAAGTGGATGGAGCCTGTAAGCATCCTGGGCACTGCTTAGCAAAGCCGTGAACGATAGGAAGCGTGGCAGAAAGTCATGTTTAAGTCTGGGGCCATCTAGTCAAGTGCCGGCGTTGCCCATCCAGGTAGAGAGGGGATGTATGCATCAGCGGGCCCTGCGGAGATTCGTTTACATCAAGGCACCCTGCTTAGGGAATTCCAGTTGCGCGCCTCGGCAGCACAACCGATGGCATCTGCCCAGTGGGCGGGGGAAGCCGCCCCTTCGGGCGATGCATTCCTGACGGTACAAAGGAAGATGCAGATCACTGCCACAAAACAGCTCGACGAGCCCTGCAAGGCCGTAAGGCTGCAGCAGATCGCCAGCAGCTTGCGGAGGCGGCAATGGTCCGGTTCCCAGGTGCTGTTGCAGATGGTTTTGCCAGTGCTGGTGAATGCCACGTAGCTGCTGCGGCAGATTCTGCAAACCTGCTGCCGTCTGCTGCAAGTGCTGCTGGACATGCTCGCGCACGGCCTGCTGCTGCCGTGCAATGTGCTCCCGCACGGCCTGGTGATGCTGAGCGACATGCTCGCGCACGGCTTGATGCTGCTGAGCGACATGCTCGCGCATGGCTTGCTGGTGTCGCTGAATGGCTTGCCAGTGCTGTGCGACGTGTTCACGGACGGCCTCTTGGGCTTGTTGCTGCTGCTGGTGCAAAGCTCGCCTGTGCTGGGCAACTTGCTCGTGGATGGCCTGCTGGACTGTTTGCTGTTGCTGCGCGACATGCTGATGGATGGCGTGTTGGTGCTGGTAAACGTGGCCCATCACGTGTGACTGCCATATCTGCTGCTCATGCTCCGCATCGACGTGCTGAAGGTGCCTCTGATCATCCTGCGGTGAGGGTGACCCTTGTGGCTCCTGCTCCATCGCCACGTCCAGCACGGGCGCCGATGGAGCCGTATCAGGCTCAAGCTGCAAGTCCGTGCTGGCCGTGCTTGCAGCGGGACCACAGTCTATGCTCTCAGAGGCGGAAGATGGACTCCCGCAAGGACTTCCGTCACAGACTTCCATTTTCAGGACCTCAGCCCCGGAATCCAATGCAGCTTGCAGTGCAGCGTCTGACAAAGGCCTCCTCGAGCCGTCTGACAAGACAAGCCAAGCATTCTGGCTCCCAACTGCTTCCAGCTTCTCCCTGACTACGTCCAGGGTGCACTCTTCGACCCGGAAGCGGAAGAATTGTCCATCAGCCGCTCTGATTTTGAGAACCACCATGGCGCCAGTCTCTTGGACGACGAGTGAACTAGGGATAACCTGCTGTCTGCACGAAACCAGGCACGTCGAAGATGGTCGAATCAGCCGAAGGGAGCGCGCTTGCTTATTATATTTCCACGCAGAGATACCAACTATGACTTCTGGGGTCAGGTTGGTGTGTAGACTTGGGGATATTTGGACCCTGCAAGCTTCAAGCTGCACTACCGGTCATCGACCTCTGCCTCTTTGCTCGGTACTACTTGAATTCTACAGCCACAGGTCCTGGACCAGTCTCTTCGAATGATCTTCGAGACAGCTTTGCGCCCCTGCTCGCGCTCCTCAGCAATTGCAGACATGCCATAGAGAGCTTCGGAAGGGAAGGTGGGCTCTAAGCCAAAGCCGACCCCGGACCCTTCTGCTCTGCAATAACATCCTATTGGTGTGTATCAGTGTATCATATCTTATTGCATACTCTTACATATTACATCTCGTATGTGAGATCTTATATCGTATGCAGTTTATCTTCTATACATTGGTGTTCTTTGTGGTTTGTATCT